CTCTATCCCCTGAGTCCCCAGTCCTGGGTCCTGCTCTCACCACTCCAGTCTGCTTCACCCTCCCTCTGCCGGAGCACAAGGTGCGTGACTCCACGGGGAATTTTTGTGCATTGGCCCTTTAAGAGGGTGCCCAAACTTTCAGCTGCCACTACCTGCAGATAGCACCCCACTGCTTTTCACAGCCAGATGTTATGTGGGTACCCTCCTCAGTTGGTGCTCTCCGCTGAGGAGCCCAGCTTCGGGATTAGATCCCAGAGTTCTCAATGGCTCCCTCCCCACAGCTGAGATATCTCTCTGGGACTTCAGTTGCCATCTGAGGGTGCCAGGCCAGCCCTTTGGCGCCTCCGCCCCTCCTACCAGTCTCTATGCCGTCTCCACCTTCAGTCCTTGGGTATCAGGATTCTCTCCTGTGAGTTTTCCATTGATTATTCAGAAAGCCTTTCCATAGTTCACCATTATGACTATCTTTTTAGACTAAGAATTGTTATGTAGTCCAAGAAATCTTTCTTGTGGAATTACATTAAACTGAAAATTCTATAAGAGATAAACCAATACCCATAGTTAAGGTGTCTCAAAATAGTTTTCCCTGAGTTCTTTTCATAACGAACTTGTTTATTGCTCACAATAACCTGTGAAGTGGTCGTTATCTTTTTAAAAAATATATTTATTTCAGAGAGAGGAAGGGAGACAGAGAGAGTAGAAACATCACTGATGAGAGAATCATCAATTGGCTGCCTCCTGCACACCCCCTACTGGGGATGGAGCCTGTAACCTGAGCATGTGCCCCTGTCAGCGGGAATTGAACCAGCAACCTCTTGGTGCATGGGTGGACACTCAATCACTGAGCCACACTGGCTGGGTGAGGTGGGTGTTATTATTATTACTAGAGGCCCATTGCACAAAGAGATTCGTGCAATAGGCCTTCCTTCCCCTGGCTGCCAGCACCGGTTTTCTTCTGGCACCCGGGACCAGGCCTTTGGTCTGGCCGCAGGGGAGAAGCCAAGCCCCTTCAGTCTTCAGTCTTCAGTCGGGCCAGAGCCTTCAGTCTTCACTCCGCACCTGCATGTGCAAATTAACTGCTATCTTTGTTGGGTTAATTTGCATAGTCGCTCTGATTGGCTGGTGGGCATAACGGAGTGACACCAATTTGCATGTTTCTCTTTTATTAGTGTAGATTTTTAAAGAAGATGGGTGTGCCGCCCTCTCCCTCCTCCACCGCTGCCGCCTCCTTCTTCTGCCACTGCTGGTGCTGCTCGTGTGCTCGTTTGGTGCAGACCTGGTACCTCTTTTGTGAAGCGGCAGCTGAGGAGACTCCGGCGCTCACTATGGCCAAAAAAAAGCCCAAGGAAGGAGTCAAGACTGAGAAGAACGATCATATTAATTTGAAGGTGGCGGGGCAGGATGGTTCTGTGGTGCAGTTCAAGATTAAGAGGCACACACCACTTACTAAACTAATGAAAGCCTATTGTGAACGACAGGTTTTGTCAATGAGGCAGATCAGATTCCGACTTGACAGGCAGCCAATTAATGAAGCAGACACACCTGCACAGTTGGAAATGGAGGAGGAAGATACAATTGGTGTGTTCCAGCAGCAGACGGGAGGGGTCTACGAAAAAGGGAACCTGCTGCTTCACTCCAGAACTCTGTGCCTCCAGACCAAGAAGACCTTCTCAGTTAGAAAACTGCAATTGGGTTTCAACACATCTGACTGCTACAGTATAGTTTTCTCTATTCTTTCATTTTCCCCTTACCCATTCCTTTATTGTACATAAAGTAACTGATGTATGTGCACAAGCATTTGCATTTTTTTTTTTTTTTTTACTAAATGGCCAATGGTATGTTTTGGTCTACATCAAAGAGGGTGGGATGGGGAAAAAATACTGGTTCTGTGAAAACACCCTTTTTCCATTAGTGGCATGCTCATCCAGCTCTTATCTTTATATTCCAGTAAGTTATTTTGCTCTCAGTTTAACAAAAAAAGAACAACATAAAAATTCTGGCATACCTTGTTTGATTGGAGAATTTTAATGTTTTTCATTTATCATTGTAAAACCAAGGACAATTTTTAAAAATATATATATATATATTATTGATTTTTTACAGAGAGGAAGGGAGAGGAACAGAGAGTTAGAAACATCGATGAGAGAGAAACATTGATCAGCTGCCTCCTGCACACCTCCTACTGGGGATGTGCCCGCAACCAAGGTACATGCCCTTGACCGGAATCGAACCTGGGACCCTTCAGTCCACAGGCCAACGCTCTATCCACCGAGCCAAACCGGTTAGGGCAAACCAAGGACAATTTTATAATTTTTCTGTACGTAGCTGTTACATGTAGGGCAATCTGTCTTTAAGTAGGAATAAATTACTCTAAAAAAATGAATCCTAGATAGTTTTCCCTTCAAGTCAAGTGTCTTGTTGTTTAAATAAACTTCTTGTTAAAAAAATAAACAAGATGGCTTCTTTTTAAAAAATATATATTTTTATTGATTTCAGAGAGGAAGGGAGAGGGAGAGAGAGATAGAAATACCAATGATGAGAGAGAATCATTGGTTGGCTGCCTCCTGAATGCCCACACTGGGGATAGAGCCTGCAACCTAGGCATGTGCCCTAACCAGGAACTGAACCCTGACCTCCTGGTTCACAGGTCGATGCTCAACCACTGAGCAATGCTGGCCAGGCCATCCAAAGTTATAGAGAAGGAAATGGCACCAGAGGTTAAGGGTTGTCCACTGGGTCACATAGCTGGACAGTGGCGGCATAGAGATTACATACCCAAGCTGGTGCTTTTTTTAAAATTTAAATTTATTGACGAGAGAGAGAGAGAGAGAGAGAGAGAGAGAGAGAGAGAGAGAGAGAGAGATGTTGTTCCACTTATTTATTCATTAATTGATTGATTCTTGTATGTCCCCTGACTGGGTACTGAACCCTTGGCTTTTTGGGACGACATTTCAACCAGTTGAGCTGCTTGGTACGGGGCCAGGCCAGTGATCTTAATCACTGAGTGAGCTACTGCTACTCATGAAGGAACCTTAGATACCAGGCTGCTCTGAGAGCAATGGGGAGCTATGGCAGATTCCTAATCCAACCTGCATTTTAGAACATGCCCAAACCTCCTACTCCAGGGTCTGGCATTCCTGAGTCTCTCCTCAATATTCAAAAAGAAAATCTCTATCTCAGCCAATTTAGACCACACCTTTTCCCCTTCCCCTGCCCCAAGTTCCCCTGCTCCTTCTCATCAGTACACGGATAAGTCATCAGAGAGCATGGGCTTAGAACAAGGAGGCCCAGGTTTAAACCCCAGCTCTACTACCTCACTTCTCTGTGCCTCAGTTTTCTAATCTATTCAATGGGCTGGGAGAAGACTCAGATGAGGTAGTGTGAAGGCATCTGTCAAACACCACGAGAAGTAATAACAGAGGTGTCCTCAGTATCATTGGGGCACTAAGGACTCCATAGAGGCTCTTTCCCTCTATAGGAGCTCCAGGCTATTTGACCCTCTTGCTAGGTTCCCTTTCTGCCAGGTAAGGAAGCCACCTAAAGCTTTCCTCAGATACATCAATTGTGCGAAAAGCATATGCTCTGCAAACCTAGCAATCATGCATTTATATATTTACTCAGCATCTACTGAGTGCCAGGCCCCATGCAGCAAGTGACAGCCTCCTGGCTGCTCAGGGATGTCACCACCGTGCACTTCACACCTCCAGGCCTTTGCTTGTGCTGTGTCTTCAGCCTTGGATGCCCTTTCTCCCTTCTCTGCTCCACTTTGGAGCCTTCCTTAATTCCAGACCTCAGTGATTCACGTTTCCTTCTGTTTCTACAGCTTGTTGCTGGTACCAATGCAAATAAGTGTATAGGTAGATTGCAGTTATTTTTTTCAAGCCTATCCTATCAGCTGGCTGGGCCTGTCTCTTGTATGGGGCAGAGCACCTGTTACCGGCTAGCTTCAATCAGATATGGGTGGAGATCAGGCCTTGGTCCCCATAGGTGTAATCTTCAATAATTCCACAGGGTGGCAGCAAACCCCTCCAGACACAGCCCTCCCAGGAGCACAGAGCTTCCAGGCTCCCACAGCTCTAGAGAGGCCCCTTCAAGCTTACTTTCTACTTTACCTCATCCCCACCCTCCACTTGGGTGACTTTGCCCTGCCCACCCCAGTGTCTCTACCTGTAACAATGGATTGTTTGCACACTTAAACTGCATACTTCACTTATTATGAATTTATAGCTTTTATCAAGATGTAATTTACATACCATACAATTCATGCATTTAATTGTGCAATTCAATGGTTTTTAGTCTATTCGCATAGTTGTGCAAACATCACCAAAATTTTACTTTTTTATATATTTTTTGTTAATTCTCACCCAAGGATTTTTTTCCACTGTTTTGTTTTAGAGAGAGTGGGAAGGAGGGGGAGAGACAGAAACATTGATGTGAGAGAGACACATGGATTGGTTGCCTCCTGCTGCAACCTGTATGCGTCCTTGACCAGAATCGAACCTGGGACCCTTCAGTCCGTGGGCCAATGCTCTATCCACTGAGCCAAAGCGGCTAGGGTCTATCACCACAATTTTAGAACATTTTAGTCACCCCCAAAAGAAACTCTGTACCCATTAGCAGTCGCTCCTCATTTCCCCCAATCCTCAGCCCCCCAGATCTAGGCAACCACTAATCTCCTTTGATGTTCTAGACGTTTCGTATAAATGGATCACACATCATACAGTCCTTTGGGACTGGCTCCTTTCACTTAGCATAATGTTTTCAAGGTTCACCCATGTTAAAAAATACCTTGTTTTATGGATATACCACATTTCATTTTTTCATCAGCTGATGGACATTTAAGTTGTTTACACATTTTATCCAGTAGGGATAATGCAATGAAGAATGCCGGCATATGAGTTTTTGTGTAAACATGTTTTTAGTGAGTTCCAGGTTATGCTGAGTGGGCTAACTTGGGTATCTGGGCCCACGAGGGGGGTGAACTTGCAGTCCCCAAGGCTGGCAGACGATGGCTTTTTCTCATGATGGTCTGTGGATACCACTGTGGGCAGCGCCGATAATGCCAATGGCTTAGCTGATGCTGGGAGGAGCACAGAGCCTTACAGAGCTTTGCCTCTCTAGGCATCTGGCTGGAAGTCCCAGCGAGTCACCGACACTCAGGAAGAGAAGAGGAAGGAGAAGGCCAAGACCCATGACCTGAAGAAAAGGCAGCTCATGAGGCTACAGAAACAGGCCTACAGAAAACTGAGACACAGGGATCCTCAAGACTCATGGACTCCTGGTCTGAACCCAGTAAAAACGGACTGTTAATTACTAAGAAACAGGAAACATGTTTGTTTGTTT